GGCTGTACATCTTTACGGGAGCAGAAAGCCTCATCTTTCTCCAGTGGAACAGCTGGTAGTTTCGAACTGCTGACCTTACAGTTCGCAGCCCGATTTGTAACCAGTACGCTACCAGAGCTCCTTAGGATTTGTCAAAGAAGAAACAAATTAATAACAAGCATACTGCTTTGATTTTAAGTGTGTGTGGTTCATTTCTCAGAACATTAACACAATAGTATCTGACCCAAGTTGATCTTGCCTGGGGCCTTACTAGCCTGCTCTTAGCACCCAAAATGCTAATGAACTTTATGGCACAATTACACTGGTTTCTTTCCAGCAAGGGCAGGGAGGAGGGGGAAGAGGGGTGTTAGGGAAGGAACCATTGAAGTCCAGTGCATTCCAATTCAGATAACAAAACCATTACCTCATGATTTAATAATAAAAAAAGACAGCAGGACTTCATTTCAATTTCACAAAGTCTCATGACTAAAGACAAGCCAAATTTTTAGCAGCCAGGCCACAACACCTAGTAACCTGTATTACTTAATCTCAGTAAAAGAGGGAGGGCAGGGTTCAATCAGTCTCTAAAGTGAGCCAACGGTTGCTATCCTAGTCTTTTCCCTCCTCTTCTCTTTATAAGCTTCTTTGTAACTAGTCTGCTAAAGCAGTACCAAAAAATGGCATTTAAAAAATACTTTTCAATAAAAATTGAAATGTTGTGTCACCATTACTTTATTTTTAACACAACTGAATATTCTAGTGATTCCAGAACAAAAGGAATATATTTAAATATTGTTCACAGAAAAGAATTTTAACATCTCTGAGAATTCAAAATAAAGACTGGATTGCCTTCTTAGATTCAGTTTTCCTTTGTCATTGAATTCTGAAAAAGAAAAGAAACATGTAGAGCTTAGGTCAGATCAGTCTAAGAATCAAGACAAGGACTATGGGCATGTAATTATATAAAATGTTTTTCAAATTATACCTCAATTCAAAATGTCATAAACACCCAGATTCATTTCCCCATAATCAGTGCTTATAAGATTTGTTTCGCTGTATTGCACTAGATTAATGTGAATGTTTTGGGCTCAGGGAATGTGTTCCTGCTGTTTTCCCCTGGTGGGATATCTTTCCCATGTATTTGGACAGCTTTCTGAGGCTCTGGGTTGCCAGCCTGCTGGGGTTGAGCTCCAGGAAGTAGATTGAGATGCATGGGCAGGACAGTAGCTGCAGGTCCTCAGCTCCATCAGAAGTAGAAGAGGCACAGAGTTGTTTTTGTGCCTAGACCTCCTCTTCCACAGGCCTGAAGGCCAAGGAACCTGTCCAGATTTAAACTCTGGATCTCAAAGCACCATTGAATTGAGGGAACAACCTTGTCTGGCTGTGTTCAGAAATGTTCTCACTTAGGGGTCCTAGTAGTTCCCACAGGTTCCTTGGTGCCCTCCCAAAGCCTTTCAGGATAGGTTTTGCTTTATCAAAGGAGTCAGATGAGATGTCATGGAGAACCCAGCTGGGCTGTGTGGAGCCTTTATCTCCATTACAGGAGGAGACAACATATCTACAAAATGTTGGGCATGGAAGCAAAGACTGTTACATTTGCCCAGATAACTTGCTTCTCTAGGCTAGGTAGATCCTATCCGGTGCTGTGAGCGGGAAAAGAAAGTTCTGAGTGGTTCTTTATGTCCCCCTTTCTTCAAAGAATAGCCACTCTGGCTTCCTCTCCTTCCCAAGGAAGGGGGACCCAGTTTGAGACATGGCATTAGCTTGGAAGAAAAAAGCTACAATGAAACTGACCTTTGGAATAGTCTATTGGACATTGTCTTCAGTATTCCTTCCATTTCTTGGCTGGAAAAAATATATAGATAATAATTCAGAACTTCCTGGATCTTATTTCTTGGTTTCAGATCCTCTTGGAACCCTAGAGACTTTTTTTTCTTCTAAATTGGATGCCAGCACCGCCAGTAGGACCTTCCCTGCTAAGCCCCAACCCCTTGCTGTCTGAAGTCCTCTGTACAGTGTTCTAGGCTCCCTTGCTGCTCCTAGGATCCTAACACTGTCCCCACACCCCACTTCCTCCACCCTAACTTAGCCTTGGCTTATCTGGCAGGGTGATCCTCAAACCATCCATCCCAGAACTTCTGATCCCAAAGAGATCATCACAGAGAGGTACTGTTTCTCAAAGTACTTTGCAAAGAATAACCTACTAATAGGTCTTCTGGTAGCATAGTAGTTATGAATCAGGCTGCGAACCTTAAGGTCAGCAGTTTGAAACTACCCAGCTATTCCGCTGGAGGAAGATGAAGCGTTCTGCTCCTGTAAAGGTTTATAGCCTCGGAAACCCTGTACAAGGTTGCTATGAGTCAGAACCGACTCCATGGCACATAACCACCACCACTAGGTCCTGTAGATCAAAAAAGTATGTGGGCCAGGAGGCAGGGTAGGGAGAGCTTCTATGGTCAAACACATTTAAGCCAAGTTAAACAGGTTGCTGCTTGCAGAGCTTTTCTGAGTCTGTAATGTGCTGGTGTGCACTGTGGGTCATAGAGAATACTAGGTGCAGTGTTTCCTATCTTATTTGACTTTTGCAAAGTATCTCTTAGCACCAGTGATCCAAGGAATAGAGTTTGGGGGAGAGCACTGATTGAGTTCAGTACTCACATTTTTCTAATGCAAACACTGAGGATCTGCAGGGTGAACATAACTAATGAATGTTGTTGTTAAGTGCAGTCGAGTTAGTTCCAACTCATAGAAACCCCATATAGGGTTTCTGAGGATGGTGGGTTTGAACCACTGACTTTATGGTTAGCAGTTCAATGCTTATCTTACAATGCCTCACCAGTACTCCTAACTAATGAATTGTTATTGTTGTTGTTAAGTGCCATTGAGTCTGCTCTGACCCATAGCGACCTTGTATACGGTTTCCAAGGAGTAGCTGGTGAGGTTTGAACCACTGAACTTGTGGTTCAAACCAACTTTGCAGTCCAGCACATTAACCCACAGCACTAATGAACAGCAGCTTAAAAACTAAAGTAGAATATTCATGTGGGCCATAGTGAATTTACTTGGCATGACTCTTCTAGCCATAGTCTGTTGAAGCCTACACATACGGCATATGTGGTTCTAAGTTGGGAAATGGTTGTTTTTGCCATTCTGCTGGATGTAAAGTGAGTCATTTCAGAGAGGGGAACGGAAATGTCGTGAGCATCAAGAAAGTGGCGGTGAAACCAAGAGCATGAGACAGAGCTCCAGCCTGAGGAGCGAGCAAGTAAATCTGAGTGCCTTTGGGCAATGAGTTGGCTTCCAGAATGAAGTGCCCTTTGGCCATTTATCAGCAGCCTAAAGGAGCTTTGTAACACTTACCTGAGTAGGGCAAGGCAGAGGCAAGAGAACACCCTAGCTGAGAGGCTGAGGAGCAGAGGTCGGTGTGCCTGTGGTGAAAACTCTATGGCTGACACGAGGTGCTCCTGACTCAAAGGACTGTATTCTGACCCTTAATTATACCTAGTCAGTTTCTCTAATAAACCCCATAATTGTGAGTGTTGTCTGTGAGTTCTGTGTGGCCATTACAACAGAGTAACAAACCTAGCAGAGAAGAGCACCATGGGGAGGGATGGTTGATGTCAGAATGAGGTAAAGAAGGTTGGAGGATGGAGGCATGTCTGACCTCTGCCTCATCACAGTCAGCCTGGGGATGATGTGGCGTTTCAGTCTCCTTCCCTGCTATGTAGCCAGGGGTCACATGCAACCTCCATGCCCTTTGTGCATCATGACTGCCTGACCTTTGCAAGAGCCTACTGTTCGACCTGGGAATGAAAAGAGGGTGGGGCCCAGACTCCCCTTGCCAAAGTGTTTTGGGGCCATGCATAGACCTTTCTCTATAGCTGCCATCATGCTGGCCCCTGACTCATGGAGATCTCATACACGGAATGAAACTCCGCCCAGTGCTATGTCATCCTCGTGATTGGTTGTGACCCAGACAATGGAGATGCCATAGAGTTTTCAGTGGCTGGTTTACTAGGCCTTTTGTACTAGTCCAGGAATCAACCTGAGTCATCCACATAGGAAACAAGAGTTTGATCACTGAACCATCGCTGCCTTGTATAGACCTTAATGCTAAGGGACATGGACTAGGTTCTGGCTGGCCCATCCTCTGCTCTCTCAGAACTGTGGTGCTTTCCACCCTATTGCCTGGGGTCCTTCCTTTGTAAGTATCAAGTTTGTGGAAGATTACAACTGAGTGTCGTGCCCCAGTAAGTGGGTAAGAGAACTGGCACCCTTATTCACCAGTTCTTAATGGGGCCCTGGCAGTCCTTATTGTGGAATTGTCCCACAGGCAGGATGACAGAGTGACTCAGAGTTAGAAAATAACAAAGAGAAATTGTGTTATACCCTGAAAAGAAAAAATGGTCTTCCCAAGATGGCAGCATAATCCTGAAACATAAAGAAACATAAATCATTATGTACTCACTTGTACCAAGATCATTCTGAAATCTAGGTGGCAGGAACAGTTTTCAAAGCATGGGCCTTGGACCAAAAGTCTCAACAACACTCAGAATTTGCTAGAAATGGAAATTCTCAGACCTCCACCTTAGACCTTCTGAAACTCTGGGGGATGGAACCCAGAAACCTATGTTGTCACAAGTCTTGCAGGTGATTCTAATGCACATGAAAGTCTGAGACCACGGCATATGGAGTCTGTGTCCACGTCTAATCCACTCCCCAGTATGTGCCAAGGAAACTCATGTACTCTTGGGAGTAGATATCCTCACTATTCATTTGTAAGACTGGAGATGAAATATTAAGTCAGAGGCATTGCCACCATGGCAAGCCAAGGGAAACCCCCAATTAAATGCTGAACCTCAAAGAAGACCTTTGGGGCTACATTTGGGGATCAGTTCTTGCCAGAGTCATGTAGAGGGATTGCAAGGGGGCAAAGCTGCAAGCACTCCCCTAGATTGTTTTGTCGTGTGGGCATTTTGTTTTGTTTTTTTCGGGTTACAAACTCCACAGGGCTTACATACCTTCTTGGTAAAGTCCACTCCAGCCGTCCCCTGCCCCTGTGAGAGAATGAGGCACAGGTTACTTTAACTAAAACCTCTTCTCTGAGACTAGTAGTTCTGTTGTGATTCTACACCGCTCATGTGCCATTCTAAGGAAGCCAGAAGTATGGTGCTACAAAACAGTACCCAATGACAAGTCTCTGCTGGAAGGCAGCTTATTTTCTTGATTTGAATTCTCATTTGTATCATTGCCTCTCCCAAGAGCTCCAGTTTTAAATTGACCAGTGGCTTAGGCAAATGTTCTGCTGTTGAGAAAATTTTAAGTCAGTTTTTCCACTTCTTCAGCTTGTTCTTTGCCTGGTGGGTTTGGCTAAGAATAAAGTCAGACTAACCTGGCAGACTACAGTTAGTCTGGCTGGGTATCAGACACATGTGGCCTGTGTTTAGGATGACCAACCCTCCTCAGAGTTTTCCCCAGGACTGAGGGCTTTCCCAGGCTTCTTAGAATTTTCAAAGTAAAATCGTGACATTCTGGGCAAACTAGAATGATTGTGCTATCGTATGTGTCCTCGGTACCCAAAAGAATTTTGGTGTGTTTGTTTTTTCACTAGCATTCAACAAAAATTTTATTAACATTATATATATAATGGCTAAACAGGTCATTTCTACACTAAAAAACCAAACGCAGCAAACACAAAAGGCTCTGAGATGTGGACAAAAGGCAGGGCAATAGGGGAAGTAGAGAAGATTCCGTATCAAGGAAGCAGGCTCAAGTTAAATGAAAACAAACAAAACCTCCAAAAAAGAGGCACTTGTGGTGCCTCCCTCATCCCTTATTGGGTGACTGACAGTCTGGAAACCAAGGCTCCCGGAAGTGAAAGCATTTGTGTGAGGTCAGACGTCCAGCGGGTTCTGATCTAAAGCTTTCTCCCAGGGTGGAAAGTCCAGATTTAGGGAGAGAATGAAAGTGAGCCCAAGGCAACGGCACACGTTTACCATACACGAACTTCCAGCGGCACAGAACGAGATGGTGGAATAAAAACAGCACATACTCTCCGCAGATCTCTTCTCATTCTTCGGTTAGCCAGCTTTGCAGCGAGGCGCATTAAAGGACGCACAGGAAGAATCTGCAACAAAAAGGCGCAGTCAGAGCAGAAATTTCTAAAAGGGTCAGACACAAGGCTCAGACATTAACACCGCAGAACTTATTTGGAGAGCCTGGGGCTATATTCCGTCCTCTGGCTCACTTCCTTTACAAATGGGTTTAATTTTCTGAGTAAAACAATTTCAGAGCCTAAGCTTGAAATTTTATGTTTTCAATAAAGAACCAATTACCATGATAGCAGGTTTCGATTTCAAGACATCATTTAAAAATATTCCTTTAGGATTGAGTCAGACTTTTATCTGCATTAACCCTTCAGAGCGCTGGTGTGGTGCCGTAGGATAAATACTGACCTCAAGATCAGTAGTCCAAACCCAGCAGCCGCTCCTTGGGAGCCTATACAGGGCTGCTGCGCGTTGGAACTGACTCAACGGCACTTAACAACAACATTCTGCCCTTCTGGATTGGAGTTCTTTGCCTCAAAGAAGCACCTCTCTTGCAAGTTCTTTCTGCCAAGCGTTCTATTCTGAGGGACAGCACCGTCACCTTCCGCCCTGGTTCCTTTTTCCATCCTGGTGTGGTGCTACAGGACAAGTACTGGATTGCAATGTTGGTTTGAACAAGGTCTATGATTCAAACACACCAGCTGCTCCTCAGAAACCCTATCCAGGGTCATTATGAGTCAGAATCAACTCCATGGCACTTAACCACAACAGCATAATTACTTAGGCCAAGATGGCCAAACTTCATCTCTCATACTTCGGGCATATTGTCAGAAGGGATCAGTCACTGGAGAAGGATATCATGTTTGCTAAGGTCAGGGGGTCAGAGAAAAAGAGGAAGACCCCCAACGAGATGGATTGGCCAAGTGGCAGCATCAATGGACTCAAGCGTGGCAACAGTAGTGAAGTTGGCCCAGGATCGGCAGTGTTTTGTTCTGCTGTGCATAAGGTCGCTATGAGTCAGTACCAACTCGATGGCACCTAACAATAACAGCAACAACTGTCATAGGAGCTATAGGGTTGCTCTGACTCAGAATCAAACCCATGGAAATGTTTTTTCTTGTTGCGGTTTTGGTTTATACTTGTCTATGATTGCTCGCCTGCACACATGTCTAGCTAGTTCTCTCTGAATCCCTTCTGGGTATTTGGGCTCAGAGTAAATGCAAATGAGTGTCCTAGCATTTATCTTTTCCTTTTTACCACCCTTCTTTCTCTCTTTGTGTTGGGCATACCACTTCTTGATCATTGTTGCTGGGTGCCTTTGAGTCTATTTCCAACCCATAACGACCCTATGTGACAGAATGAAACTATCCCGTAGGGTTTGTTGGGCTGTGATCTTTAAAGGAGAAGATTGCCTGGTCTTTATATCTCAGAGCAACTAGCAGTCAAGCACTTAACCTTTGTGCTACCAGGGCTATTCCCATCCTTATCTATTCTCTACTCTCTGTCCCACATGACTGTCATGAAAGTACGCATGTGGGCTCTGAGAGCCTACATCCACCTCTTTGTAGCTTTGCACTAGCCTCCTGTTGTTGTTGTTAGGTGCCTTCGAGTCAGATACTAACTCATAGTGACCCTGTGCACAGCAGAAGGAAACACTGCCTGATCCTGGGCCAACCTCACTATTGTTGCCTCTTAATGATCAAATAGTGTGCAAATGGCCTTGTCAGTGGCATCTTTACAGCTTTACCCCATCTGCCTTGGGGACCACCTGCATCATGTAACCCACTTACATAAGTCAGTTACATAACAGTTGGCAGCCTTGTCTTCTTTGTTCTGCTACCAATTCAGCCAGGGCAGAACTGGGGGGCGGTACAGATTCTCCTGGGGCGGATTCTCCAGAAGAGACCCTCATATTGCAGCCACTTTCAGAGACAATAAAGTGGTATAAATCCCCTTGTAGACAGCCCCATAGTTTGCTTTTGTTTTGCCTCTCTGAGTTCAAAGGGAACCTGCCTGGAGTTGAGCTGCAATACAATGACCCATGAACCCTTACTGCTTAAATAAACAAGGCACTCTTGAAGATCCGAGAAGACTTAATGATATAAATGACTTTCTTATTGTTGCAAACATCTATGTGACACATTAGCCAATTTAACACTTTTTTCTGGTGTACAATTCAGTAACACCAAGTATATCAATTACGCTGTGCAATCGTTGCTAAAACCCATTGCCAAATTTTCCATCACCATGAACAAACTCAATGCTTCCTAAACAATCACTCTCACTTGTAAGTGATTTTCTAAAGGTGAAATTTCAGCTGCTGTGAACAGGGCACCTGAATTATCAAGTGTGTTGTATGACCTTCCCAAGAGTCCTCAAACGTTACCCCACAGAAATTTACCTCTCTACTCACTGTAAGAAAATAAGACGTGGTGATCATCCCATAGCACATACCCACTGTGATAGTCAGGAAAGATGCATGTGGATGGATGCTCCTGGGGGTTTGGTACTTTACATTTCACAAAGTACTTTTCAACACTTAAAAACAGATAGTGATATGCAACAATGAAAATAGAGCACAGAATTTTAACAGGCTTTCCCTGTAGCCTGTTACAAATCGGACTGCTAACTTCAACAAGTGGAAACTACAAGCAGTTCTGTGGGAGAAAGAGGAGGCTTTCTGCTCCTGTAAAGATTTGCAGCCTCGGAAACCGTGTACAGGTCTTTGTGAGTTGGAACCAACTCCATGGCACATAACCACCACCACCACCACCACCACCACCCAGTTTAAGTGAACAATAAAAATAAATAATTTCTTAACTTGATTTTCCTTTTTTTTCTGTAGTTTTATTCTCTGACTTTTCAGATCTGTCAGTCGACCACCATTCTCACCCAGAGAGAGAGCTAAAATCCTTTCTGCCCAAGAAGACAACACTAAAAAGCTCTCACTCAGAGGGCATCTGGAAGTGCCCTACTCTTGTACTTGTCTGCATATATTAATTAAGAAGACAGATGTGGCTTTCTGCTCCCATAAAGATTTACAGCCTCAGAAACCCTGTGCAGGGTCGCTATGAGTCCGAACCGACTCTACGGCACACAACCACCACCACCACCACCACCAAAGATTTACAGCCTCAGAAACCCTGTGCAGGGTCGCTATGAGTCCGAACCGACTCTACGGCACATAACAACAACAACAACAACAAGAGGCATGCAGAAGAGAATCCCTTTTGCAAAAAGGATAATGATCATAAAATACTGACCCCAGTTTTAACTCGATGTCTTGGCTCCTGAAATCTGGAGTAGTGAAATAAAAACTAAGAAAAAACAAAAGACTCAATTAGTACTAAGCTCCACTTGCTCTAAAAGGGGAAGTAGCGTGTGCTTGCTACTGAGTTAGGTATACTCACCCTTTTGCAAATGTCTTGATTAACCTTAGAAAAATAATTGTGCGAATAAATTACAGGGACAAGAAATTAGTAGTATGGTTTTCAGTATGCTACATCATGGATTATGTCTGACTTACCTGAATATTATTAAATGAACTGGCGATCTAAAATTAAATGTTTCCATTATACAAATTGAATAAGAGAAAGAAAGTTGCCATAATTTTTCTGAGAATTAATTTTATCCTCTCAGTCTTTGGCGAGGGTGGCAGTGGTAAATCATACTCTATGATTTATAATAAATAAGCAAAAACCCAAACTAGCTGCTGTCAAGTTGATTCTGACTTGGTTACTCAGCATGTGTCAGAGTAGAACTATGCTCCATAGGGTTTTCAAGGGCTGTAATCTTGTAGTGTAGTGGTTACAAATCAGGCTGTGAACCTCAGGGTCAGCAGTTCGAAACTACCAGCTGTTCCACGGGAGAAAGATGAGGCTTTCTGCTCCCGTAAAGATTTACAGCCTTGGAAACCTTGTACAGGGTCACTATGGGTCAGAACTGACTCCACGGCACATAACAACAACAACAATCTTTCAGAAGTAGATCATCAGACCTCCCTTCCCAGACACCTCTTAGTGTACTGATTTGCCCAACCTCTTAACCATTTGACCCACCCTGGAACTGCAAAACCAGGTGCTATGGAATCAGTTCCAATTTGTGTGTCAGAGTAGAATTGTGCTCCATAGGATTATAAAAAACAAATAAACCTGTTGCCTTGTAATTGATTCCAACTCTTAGCAACCTCATAGGACAGTATAGAACTGCCTTATAGAGTTTTTAAGGCTATAATCTTTATAGTAGGAACCAGGGTGCCCCAGTGGTTAAGTACTGGGCTGTTAACGGAAAGGTCAGTGGTCTGTTCAAACCCACCAACCACTCTGGAGAGAAAGATGTGACAGTCTGCTTTCTAAAGGTCACAGCTTTGGAATCTTTGTGGGGCAGTTCTACTGTGTTCTACAGAGTCACTATGAACTGGGAAAAAGCTATTATTGGTGGGTTTCAACCACCAACCTTGTGGTTCAAACAGACATTGCAGTACAGTGCTTATCCTACAGTGCCACACGAGAGCTCCAATCTGCTTATGGCTAATCTTTACAGAAGCAACATCTTTCTATAGGGAATGAACCAAGCTCTTAACTACTGCATCACTAGGGCTCCTTCCATAGGGTTTTAGTGATACCTAAATCAGTTCCCAGATAACTGACTCAGACATGAATAAAATAATTATTGAAGCTTTAGTGTATTGCTAGAATTCTAATTTTTAGGGTTGGCTCAAATTTACCAAATCTTTTTCTTTTTTAAATGCTCACTTTCTACATGAATTTTCATTCTTCTTTCAGAAAGCCCAATTTTTAAATTTCTCAGTCTTTGTTGGAACTCTACTTGGTCCTTGTTTAAATGTCTGATAGCCTAGAAAATCTCTATGCAGCCTATCTGACTCAAGGGCCAAGTTATGTGAGCATGTAGAATCATCATATAAAACCACAGAATATGTTTTCATGCCCGTGTCTTATGCAATTGCTAGAAATGATTATCGTGAAAGATCTTTTAATCTGCTGATCTGCTAATATTAATCATTTGCATCTCATTCACATTTACACATTCTTGAATTATCTCAAACTTCAATCAAAACAGAAATTAAAGTTGTTAAGTAACACATCTAATATTATTGCTGTGAATAAAAATTAAATGCATGTTCCTACAAACTTTGTGAAGAGTTTCTGCAATATAAGCAGGTGAAAAGCTATGTATTCTTTCTCACTCTGTCTCTCACGTCATACTTCTCCTTTTCCTCTACCCCATTCTTGCACGGGTTGTACATGCACACATATGCACACACTATAATTAATAAACATGGATCATCATAGAGGCTCTCTGGAAATTTACTGTTTATAATGACTATTTTTAAACCAGCAGAAAGTATTTACTGTTTTCACAGTACCTACTTTTCTTGCTAACATCTGCTCACAATCATGTGTGTGTGTGTACATGAACACTTATTGGGCAAATAATTGCTTTTTGTACTATGTTCACCAACTTTACACTGTTACTTTTCAAGCCAAAAAATAACAAGGATTATGAAGAATTTTTTTGGTGCTTTTGCTTGCTAAACATTTTATATACACCTTTCTTGCTTTGTGTTTTTTTTCTGCTTAAAAAAATACATAGTTAAAATTTTACTTACAAATTTTGTTTATTATCGATTTATAAACTAAAATGTAAGTTCAATGAAAGTAGGTATTTTTGTCTATTTTAATCACTCTGTATCTGTAACACCCGGGGCATGGAATGTTATCTAGGAATATATATTTTAATGAATGAATAGTGTATCTCTGTGTTCATAAGAACCTACTGCCTCCCCCCACCCCCCCATCCGAACTTCTTGTAGTACCATAAAGTAACCAGTAACATGAAATGTTTCCATGTATCTGTAGAATGTAACTGTTTTCTGAACTGCCTCAAGATAAAGTTCTCTGGATCACAGTTCTGGATTCTGCTGTAGACCAGAGCTGGATATGGGCTGGCAGTCCTCGAAACGCATACACATCAATGGACAAATGAGAGAACCAAAGCTCCAAGAGAGAAAGGGACTTGTTCAAGGTCACAGTTCAAGGTAGCAGTAAAACCAACAGCAATCATGGTCTTTCTACTAATAATTTTGAAGTATTGGTGGTTTTGGTCACAGAACAACCCCTGGTCATCCGTGGTTGACAATAATCAATGGAATTAAGCTTTGGGAGAACGGAGACCATGGAGGGGAAATTCATTCTAGGAGGGTCCTGCACTTAGGAAAAGCCCAGTTGCGCACTGCAGTAGCACAAGTGACAGACACACTCCTACTTCCACTGTGGAGGCAAGGGATACTCGCCCAAGCTGTATGTGAAGGACAAGAAAGTTCCTTCAGAGAGAAGTGGCGGGCAGTGTAAGAAATGGAGGACTCTGATTCTTACCCTGAACCTTTGCTTCAGGCTCCGAGACTGTAAAGATTACTTCTGAAGATGAGAGGCAACAGTTGATTTCAAGCGTGCATGATGATAAACTTCAAATAAGAGGAAATTGGCAGGATATATTTATATTTGAGAGAGAAAGTAGCATCTGGATCTCAAAGAATGAGACTAAGTTGCACCAAGAGGTAGTAGTAAATATTACCTCAACCCTGTTTGAATGGTAGTGATTTTTAAAAATGGAAACCAATGAGTGGTGGCAAAGTTGTAGAGAAACTGGAATGTTCATTTATTGCTAGCAGGACTGCAAAATGGTATAGCACTGTGGAAAACAGTTTGGTGATTTCTCAAAAAGTTGAACATGAAACTACCATGGTGGTGGTGGTGGTGGTGTGTGCCATGGAGTCAGTTCTGACCCATAGTGATCCTGAATAGGAGTTCCAAGGTTGTAAATCTTTACAGGAGCAGAAAGCCTCATCTTTCTCCTGCGAACAGCTGATAGTTTCGAACTGCTAACCTTGAGATTATCAGTTTGACTCATAACCACTATGCTACCAGAGCGCCTTAAAACTACCATATGATCCCGCAATCCCAATCCTAGGTATATGAAGTGAAACCAAGAACACAAACAGAAACTCTATACCAATGCTCATCGAGGCAGTTATCATAAAGCTAAAGGTTGCCAACAATTTAAATGTCCACCAACATATATTAATGGCTGTTTTTTAAAATGTGGTGTTATAGACACAATGAAATGCTACTGAGTCATAAAGAGAAAAGCAGTTCTGTTGCACGCCACGGCACGGATAAACTTAGAAAACTCTATGCAGAGTGAAAAAAGTCAGTTACAAAAGGACAAATATTGTATGATCTCCTGTATATGAAATAAGAAAATCTATAAAAACCAAAGTCTACTAATGATTGTCAGGGGAGATGGGCTAAAGGAGCGTTTTGCTTAAAGGGCATTATTGTTGTTGTTAAGTGTCATCGAGTCGGTTCCAACTCATATCGACACTGTATAGGGTTTTCGAAGCATGGCTGATGAGTTTGAACCACCGACATGGTTCAAAAAGACCTTGCAGTCCAGTGCTTATGCTACAGTGCCAATGGTACTGGAATGATTTAGAAAAGGTAATGAGGACAACATGAAGAATGTAATTAATGGCATATGTAGAAATTATTGAGATGAAATATGTTTTGCTATGTATATTTTCACCACAGTTATAATAATTTTGGGGGTGGGTAGTTTGGAAGGTGCTTTACACAGGTAAAAAACTGAGATAAAGGCACAGGATAATAAACAAAAAGGGTCCAGAATGGAGACATGAAGCCACACTAAAAAGTAGGACCAGGGTGAGGGTAGGCAGCATCTATCACACTGAAGGTTTTATTTCAGCAGACAGACATCCCTCCCTGGCTTTAAAAAAAATCAGGTGGAAGGTAGGTGGGAGGGGGCGGGGTCACGGGGTCAGAATGTCACCACACCCAACAGGGAGCTGAGCTCCCATCCAAGAACTCTAGGCCCCTTGGAGGCTACACTCCCGAGTCTGTGCTTGCTCCTAGACAGGGAAGAGCTGAGTTTTCTAACATCTATTAAGAAAAAAAAAATCTATCAAATATGTTCATTCTCACAGAGGCAAGTGCTGGGTCCTCAGGGGAAGAGATGGGGCTGAGAGCAGCTGGGGCCCCAGAGGCAAACCTGGGCTGGCAGGAGATCCTGGCACTACAGTCTGCATTTGGTTTGTATCTGCCTGTTGAGCTGGTTCTCTGACCCAGTGTTCAGCTTCAGCTCCAGCTCCCGCTCCCGCTCCCGCTCCTTAGCCTGGGGAATCAGATATAGGATTTGTTGTTTCTGCCGCTGCTGGCCTGTAGGCTGCTTACCCTTCTTTTTGCTTAATGACTTCATGGTTTTCTCTTGTGTCAAAGACTTGGTCATCCACTGTTGGGCCCCACTAAGCTGGTCATCACCTTTGATCTCCACAAAGTTGATTTCCTCCCTTCCTCAGTTCCTCTTGCCCTGCAGTCACTTAAGTGCTTCGTTATGGATGAAGGAGGCATCTGGGGCAAGTTCCTGCGAGGGGCCAGGGCCGTACCCTGTTAAGAAGAGTCACCACCACTGAACTAATCCTGACAACAAGCACCAGCAGCATTGGGATCACCACATGTGGAAAACTGATTGCAGCTGTGGTTGTCCCCAGGCTTAGGCATCCAAGGGGCCCCACTTGAACTGCCATGGTGAATTCAAGGGGCCTTGGCTGCATGGCCTTGGAAGGGACAGTGGAGATAGGATCAGGGTATGGCTCAACTCCAGGGGCTCAGCCTTGTCAGGGAGGGAGGGAAAAGTTATCCGGGGCTACTTCCTCATCACTGTCACCCTCCTCCTATGTCATCTGAATAAGGGCAGCACTGTTGGCAGCAGCCTTGATGGCAGAGAGTGACGGAGTGGTGGTTGTGGTGCCCATAACTGGGGCAAGAGAGGAAGGCTTCGTCGTAGGGGCTAGTCTGGAGGGCTTAGTGTCAGAGGAGGTGTCCCAGAGTTTCCGGGAAAAGGCTTGGGACAGGATCCAAGGCTTTGTCCCTTTCACAGTCAGGTTTTTAGGTTGGGGAAGCAAGGCAGACAAGCCAGTACCCTCGCCAGATCCCTGAAGGACAGTTTCTTCTTTGTGATTCTTCTTCCTCAGAATCTGAATCCCTGTGTGCAGCTCCGGCGCCGCCACAATCTTCGTGCGCTCTGTCAGGCACCACCAATGGGGGACACAGACTGACAGGGCCTGGGGGTAAGGGTCATCGCCTCTTCCTCCTCCTCCTCCTTCTCCTCCTCCTCCTCCTCAGGCTCCGGCTCCACCTCATCTGGTGCACTCTCATCGCTGCTGGCATAAGCAACCAGTGACAGGGTGCCTCCCGCCTTTGGGGAGCCCTTGCGGGCAGATGAGGCCTACTCGAAACCAGGGATGTGCGGCGGCCTAGTGGGCCCCACCACTCAGCAGGATGGGGAATCAAAGAGCCCATTCCCTGTAGGAGCCCATGGCCATGGTTGATATCTACCTAATAAGGGAACTGGTAGCTTAGTGCTTACGAATCGGGCTGCTAACCTCACAGTCAGCAGTTCGAAACTACCAGCTGGTTTGCAGGAGAAAAATGAGGCTTTCTGCTCCCATAAAGATTTACAGCCTCGAAAACCCTATACAGGGTCTCTATGGGTCAGAACCAACTCCACGGCACAAAACCACCACCACCTTCACTTAAGCACTTAGTCCCGGGCAACTACATACACACAGCTAACGGCTGCCAAGTCTCAATAGAATATATA